TGTAAAACCAAGTTTAAATCTTTGTGCAATATTAAAAAAAAATTCAACAAACTCTCGTAAAAATGTCTGACTTTTTTAATTAGATTTCCTAGAAAGATTCTGTGTATTCAGTTTTGTAGCCCATTAAATTCTAGTAGAACAAAGTACAAGTTTCAAATGGCTAAAAATTACGGTTGTGCCATTTGCTTCCATTTAACGAATACACACTATTTATTTTTATATAGAAGAAAACCGAAACATCCTGGACAAAAAAAAGTTCTAAAAAATTAACCGTAATTTTTAGCCATTTAAGACTTGTACTTTGTTAACCTAGAGTTCAATGGGCTACAAAACTGCATACACAGAATCTTTTTAGGAAATCTAATTAAAAAGTCAGACATTTTTACGAGAGTTTGTTGAATTTTTTTTTAATATTGTACAAAGATTTAAACTTGGTTTTACACGGGTTTTGCTAACTAATGAACTATATTTTTTATAAAAAAATAACCACATTTATATAACAACAAAAATAATATGTTATCACTTGCCAAAATATAGTGCAGCTATAATTATTTCGACCACTGCAAATTTAAATTTAAAGAAATAAAAAAATTAAAAAGTTACGTTATTGGAGTAATTTATGTCGCTATTAATAAATTTTTGTAATGATCTTATCTACCGTTATGTTAAATTNGTAGCAGAGGAAGAGGGAGGCCCCCACTGCGATGGAAAGATCAGGTGGAGAAGGACTTGGCTTCACTTGGCGTTTCCAATTGGCGTCAGTTGGCACAGAGGAGAAATGACTGGCGTGCTTTGCTGAACTCGGCCAAAATCGCTTAGGCGGTTACAGCGCCAAAAAAGAAGAAGAAGAATTAAAAAAGTCAGAAATTTTTTCGAAAGTTTGTTGAAACTTGGATTTACACGGGTTTTGCTAACTAATGAACTATATTTTTATAAAAAGTTAACCAAAACTAAATAACAACAAAAATAATATGTTAAAACTTGTCAAAATGTGGTGCGGCTATAATTATTTCGACCACTGTAAATTTTAATTTAAATAGTAGATACATAGGATTTGTAGAGAACATAGAGAACCATGTATGTACGTATGTACATATATACATCAGATCTTCTTCTGTTCGCCTATCCATCAGTGCCAGGCACTCAACATTTTAATTCAAGTAGGAAGCAGCAATATTTAAATTTAAAAGTGGGTAATTCAAGAATAGGGTTGCCAGATTTTGTATGCGCAAAATCAGTACGTTAGACTGAAAAGAAACAGTACATTTTTATTTACAGCAAAATTATGAATGTAAGTATCAGATATTACTTTAAAATGCCAGAGAACTTGTGTTTAACACCTTTTTGTTGTATAAATAGAATATAGTTCATAAAAAATAAAAGTGTTATTCATTTTAACATGAGTGTTTATATCATTGTACACAGAGGCCAATAAATTACACAGGCCGACAAAATTTTTACCCAGAAACCAGACTATAACTATCTGGCCACAGAATGGCTCTATCACATCAGGATTTTGAGATATTTTAACCTATAAGTGCAAAAAATGCCATTTTTGCCCATTTTTGAAGTTGTGTTTGCAAGCCAGAGTAATTTTTCTCAAAAAAATACAAAAAAGGTGTTAAAGTACAAGTGTTTCTCTTTGAAATGACGTTGAGTTTGCTCAAATATGCTTTTGCTTCGCTGAGATATTACAATTTTAAGTTTACGGATTTTCCAATTTTTCTATATCTTGAAAATCATGTAAGTAACATAGCGGCCACGTGTACTATCCGCAACAATTTTTGTTCACGGAAGTCCGTAAATTTAAAATTGTAATATCTCAGCGAAGCAAAAAGATATTTGAGCAAACTCAACGCCATTTCAAAGAGAGGTAAGGAGATCGGTCTTATTTTGTCGGCCTGTGTAATTTGTCTTTGTATTTTTAACCGACTTCCAAAAAAGGAGGAGGTTATCAGTTCGTCGGAATATTTTTTTTTATTTTTTTATGTATGTTACCGCATAACTTTGGACCACGTCAACCGATTTCGATAATTCTTTTTGCATCGGAAAGGTAGTGTCTCAGAGGTGGTCCCATACTAATCTGGTTAAGATCCGATCAGCGGATCATGAGATATATATATATATATTTTTTTTTATATGGGAGTTGAAGTCGGTTTTTTTTTGCTAAAAATTACTTGTTACATAATTCATGTACTTATTTTTGTATTTTTTTTTTTGGTGAAAATACAGATTAAATTTTATTAGTTTCATCAATGTTCAGTTTTACATGGAATAATAAGAGTTGAAGTGAAGAAAAAATTGTTTTTTTTGCTTGCTTAATATTGCCTCATTGGATTTTTTTTATGCGGTATTTTTGAATTTTTACACGGAGTATCTGAATTTATGCGGTTTTTGAAAATGCTGTAATGCATCCCCTGTTTTTATATGAAAGTAAAGAACTTTTTTATGCGGATTTTTTATGTGACTTTCTGAGGAACGCATGTACCGCATAAAAAGAGACCTAATACGATGTTTCCACGCTTCGTAATTCGCTCTCTAAGTAATTCGTGAATTACCCGGTTCCCACGACACACATTAGTAATTCTTTTGGCAGCTCTAGTTCTTGTTCTTGTTCTTCGCTATTTATTATTATTTTTGTGTACTGCAAATATCGAAGATGGAGCTACAATTTGAGGTTATCAACAAAAATTTTAATTTATATAGAGAATATTTCATGAAAATTATTCTAGAACTAGAAAAAGTGCCCGCAAATGGGACCAGGTCGGTGAAAACTTCATTATATTTCCGATAAATATTAGAGAAAGCACCGATTCGTTCGTAATTCGCATGGTAATTCGAACTGAATTACCTACAAATGAGGTAATTCGCTCTCAAAATTTTGTATGGCGAATTACGTAATTCGGAAGGTAATTGGCAAGGCGAATGACGATTGGGAGAGCGAATTACGAATGAGAGAGCGAATTACGAATCGTGGAAACGCCGTGTTAGGCCCTGTCTCCACAGGAAAACACTGCTGTCGTGATAACCATGTCACAAAATATATTTCCAATGGAGACCGCCTATTTCTCATGTGCTGCAATATATGTCAGCGCTTATTGCTTGACATCTGTTNTAATGCATCCCCTGTTTTTATATGAAAGTAAAGAACTTTTTTATGCGGATTTTTTATGTGACTTTCTGAGGAACGCATGTACCGCATAAAAAGAGACCTAATACGATGTTTCCACGCTTCGTAATTCGCTCTCTAAGTAATTCGTGAATTACCCGGTTCCCACGACACACATTAGTAATTCTTTTGGCAGCTCTAGTTCTTGTTCTTGTTCTTCGCTATTTATTATTATTTTTGTGTACTGCAAATATCGAAGATGGAGCTACAATTTGAGGTTATCAACAAAAATTTTAATTTATATAGAGAATATTTCATGAAAATTATTCTAGAACTAGAAAAAGTGCCCGCAAATGGGACCAGGTCGGTGAAAACTTCATTATATTTCCGATAAATATTAGAGAAAGCACCGATTCGTTCGTAATTCGCATGGTAATTCGAACTGAATTACCTACAAATGAGGTAATTCGCTCTCAAAATTTTGTATGGCGAATTACGTAATTCGGAAGGTAATTGGCAAGGCGAATGACGATTGGGAGAGCGAATTACGAATGAGAGAGCGAATTACGAATCGTGGAAACGCCGTGTTAGGCCCTGTCTCCACAGGAAAACACTGCTGTCGTGATAACCATGTCACAAAATATATTTCCAATGGAGACCGCCTATTTCTCATGTGCTGCAATATATGTCAGCGCTTATTGCTTGACATCTGTTACAGGCAATTCGATAGTTTGACAGCCATATTTTCATTTGAAAGAAAGCGTGCTGGTAGTAACATCGATGAAATGTTGATATTAAATCAAAATAAAAATCTGTTCCGTATTTGATAATTTATGATTACGTTTTAGGAAATTATTTAGCTAGTTTTTTAAAGATTTAAATGTTTTTAAACACCGAAATTGAGAGAATGTTGTCTGGTGGCGTCATGCGGCAAATGCTTATTTCAAGACATCAAAGTGCCCACACACAAAAACTTGCAATCACATTGCTCATCAAAATGACAGTTGGTAGGCCATCGCTGTTCGCCTGTGGAGTTCTGCGGTTAGTGTATTATTTAAGGATGCATTGACGGAACGCATATTCGGATAGATCCGCCAAAGATATCAAAGGATGACTACATCAATAGGAAGGGGTTATGTGGATTTGTTTGCAACCCGTATGCAACGAAAAGAAAATTTTATTAACATTTTCGTTGGATACCCTGGTTCCAGCGACGACAGTTGGGTTCTCCAACATTCGACACTTTATGATAACTTGCCTTCTTATTGTGGAGATAATATTCATCTAAACGTGCGAAAAATGTATTTAACTTAAAAAAATATGTTTATTTCAGATTATTACCTTTTGGGCGATTCGGCATATCCCTGTAACAAATATGTGATAACCCCATACAGAGATAATGGGCATTTAACAAATGCTCAAAAGTATTTCAACATAAAACTAAGCTCTGGGCGCATCGCCATTGAACACTTCTTTGGCTTATTGAGGCAAAGGTTCCACCAATTGTTCTATTTCAAGCTCCGGGGCATTGAAAAACTTTGCCACTTCGATAGAGCTGGTTGCGTTCTGCATAATATAGCAAACAAAGACGATTTAAACTTTATTTCAGATACATATATCTGAAGAAACCTCCGAAGAGTTAACATCTCACGGTGAAGTTGCTAGGGGAAATCTTGTGCGGGATCCAATTTGTCAAGAGATACAACTTCGCAACAATATTTGTTGTATGTATGCACGTACTTCAAAATATTTTATTTTTTCATATAACACACTGTTTAATTTACGTTGACATAACATATTTTTGGATAAGACCTACCACAAAGGAATACATAAATAATTTTTTTTAATACCCACCATCGACTTATGAGATCAATTTTTTCCCTCTATCTTCGCCTTTTCTTGAGCTCTCTCCTCCTTCTTCCTTAAACTTTCCTCCAGGAAGTTTTCAAGCTTTTCGTCCGACTTCTTCTTTTGTTGTATTTAAGCCTCTAGATGAGACTTCTTCTTCTTAGAAGTTGATGGCCCGAAATCAAGGACTTCTAAAAATATAATAAAATCAACATAATTATATAATTTCTGAAATAGATTCAAGTAAAAAGTACAATAGGGCTGCTCAGCATGTTGTGGAAATGGTCTTAGATTTGCAGTTGGAATTACATTTGTGATTTTATGCTTGCTGCCATTGCAACCGTGTGCATTTTATTGTTGCCAATTTGCAAATGCAAGATCATATAATCAAGATCCTGTACAGCCCTATTGTAAAATGCTTATTAATTTGCATAAGATGTAATTAATACCTGAAGTGCTTTCCAAGGAGTCAGAAGTTTTTCTTTTGCCTGACGTTTATGGGCCAGAGTCGATGTCTTCTATAAAAAAATAAAAAAATTGTTTATGGAGTATTTATACACATAAATAAGTGATTTAGTAGGTACCTGGCGTAGCTGGTAATTGCTCGATGTTCTCTTCCGCATCACTGCTTTCTTCCACCGATATTGCAGTCTCATTGTCGACTACCGCCTCAGGAAAGATGGATTTCTTTTCTTAAAAACATCGTCTAGCTCACTGTTTTCATGAAAGTATTAACGAAAATTATGGATTATTTCAGGAAAATAAGAAGAAATTTTGTTGAAATAAATACTTCTCATAAGGGCATGCCATTCTAGCTCTTCCTGTTTTAGAGTTATTGAGTTTATTTTTTTTGTGCTGTCTTTCTAGGCTGCAAAGTTTGTCCTCGACTTGTGAAGCCGTGAAAAAGTAACGCTTGTCGCAAAGCTCGTTGCTAATCGTGATCCACATTTGCTTTTTGTTTTTCATGCTTTGGCTTTTACTAACTTTCGGCCGCAGCTCCTAACCTTCATTAGCAGCTTTGTTGGCTCATCCAACCACGCAGGCCTCTTGCCGTCAGATATCAGCACTTGTGCCGATTGGAAGGAGGTCTTTCACTTTCGCACATTGCATTCTTTTCCGAGAAAGCTTTATCCACGCCAGTGCTCCCGCTGTGCTCTTCTCTTATAACAATGCTTTCGAAGCATTGTTCTCCAGCCACTTCGCTTATGATCTTCTTTCTATAAACTGCATCTCTTATATAAATTAATTTATTACAATAAATTAATACTGTTTTCTTATTCAATTGTCCTCTCCATTTTTTGTAAGTTATTGCTGCCGCACTCAATTTGTTAACTTTTATTATTAGTTTAATTTTATTTTCACCCCAGAAAGGAATCAGCAGTCTTTCAGCTCGAAGACAACAACATTAATTTTAATTTTTTGATAATTATCAAAATTAGCACGCATCGAAATAAAGATAAAATGATATGTGAATATGTTGACAGCCAAGTTCACAAATCAAATAAGAATTAATTCAAGGCGAATTTAATATCTATTGAGGAGTGGGACTTGGCATGCAATATATCGTTAGTATAGTATGGAAAGGGCGTAACTTACATCGTCGCTGAAATACAAAACGCCGCAACTAACTAAAAATCCAAAATTCAATTTTTGATTGATTATGATGGATTTCATCGATTTATAAATGTGGGCACTTATCGTTTTATGCAATAAAAATATTTGTTAGTTGTTGCTTTTTTACATTTCATCGACAATGTGAAATATTCGATTTTCATACTATATTAACGATATGTTGAGAATTTGCGTTCATTCGACTCAAAATATCAAAGCACATTGAGCGCATGGAATGGAATAACAAAAAAGTCGAACGGAACTACGGAAAAGTCGAGCTCAGCTATTAAAAAACTAATTGCAAGCTGTTCATAACAGACAGGATAAAAATTTAATCACAAAAACTAAAATCGAAAAACGCTGATGACGTAACACGATCTCCAAATTCTGAAAAAACCAAAGGAATTGGTTGAAAACAACGGTGTTTATACAACGATCTTGCCATGATGCTAGATTGTGAAGATGAAAGTCAGGAGGATACATCCGACATTTGCAGCCCCGATGCAATGCTCAAAAAGAAATAATTGCACCGCAATAAAAAAAGAAATATAAGTGAAAGTCCTCCCAACTGGTGCAGGGTATATCGAAAACAATTTACAATTTTGTCAAATTCCAAGTTTTTCATGTTTGTCGCCATCACCGAGTGGCGCAGGTTTTTCATTTCATTTCATTTATTGAGTCTATGATTATATTAACCTTACAGACTAGATTCACAAGATTGACTTAACTAAAAATGTATGACTAAAGGTCTGATTATGCATACTTCGCATAACTTCGCACAACCATTTGTAGCAGTACAAGAAAAATGTAACTTAAGAAAATGTGAAGCAAAATCTAAACTCAACAGATCGCTAAGTTTCTAAAAGCTCTGCTAGTTTATGGGTATCGGAATACATACAAAATACATACAAAGTGNGGTCTGATTATGCATACTTCGCATAACTTCGCACAACCATTTGTAGCAGTACAAGAAAAATGTAACTTAAGAAAATGTGAAGCAAAATCTAAACTCAACAGATCGCTAAGTTTCTAAAAGCTCTGCTAGTTTATGGGTATCGGAATACATACAAAATACATACAAAGTGCATACCAAATTACAGTTTGAAGTTTATGCGAAGTTGTGCGAAGTTGTGCGAAGTTGTGCGAAGTTGTGCGAAGTTATGCGAAGTATGCATAATCAGACCATAAGAATATAGAGATTAAATCATTGGGCCAAAACGAGATCTCGGGAGTGCAAAATCTAGATCAAGGCTACTAAATATTCGACTGAATTCAATGAGGGCTCTAGCAATGGGGTCAAAGTAATGGTAATTAGCTCGATATGAAACGGATACTGAAAGCGAAGTGTCCGTTGCGGAACGTTGAAACTTATCAGCTCAAGTAGCTCCGGGCAATCAATGAGACCAGCAATGATATCATAAACAAACATCAGCGAATGAATGGATCTTCTCGATTCAAGTGATAAGGGGGCAAAGGAAATTAAGTGGTTTGAGAGCGAAATAAGTTGAATAGATCGGATTCCAGATTAAGGAAGCATATTCCAATTTTGTTCGTACTAAAGAATTAAATACAATTTTTCGGGTATACGGATCTCTAAAGTCCCTTCCATAGCGGCGAAGAAAGGCTAGGTTTAGAGTAGGCTTTAGGGATAATATAATTACTGTGATTCACAAAGGTAAAACCGGAGTCAAACATCACTCCAAGATCCACAAATTCACGAACTGGAGAAAGGCTAGCATCAAAAAGAGAATATGTTGACCTAATAACGTTTAAATTTTTAGAAATGGTCATGTGAAAACATTTCTTAATATTGAGAGGTAATTTGTTTCTTGTACTCCAATTAGCCAAGTTATTAAGATCGTCTTGTAAAGACCGAAAATCTGATTTACGACCCGTTAAGAAACAGGCTGTAACTCGCAAAAATAATCTTTATTAAATACAATGTTCCAATTTTTAAATTCAAGTACTAAATAAAAAAAAACATATTTACCTAAATTACCTAATGTACACAATTAATTTATTTCTTAGAAATACTTGACATCCGCATTCGCATCCGCATTAGCGGATGTTAGCTTTTAAACATCCGCATTCGCATCCGCGGGTGTCTAAAATTCCACATTCGCAACATCCCTAATATTAAGTGCTCGACCAAGGCGTGTAAAGATTTCCAGTTTAAAATACACGTAAACTTTGATTTTTTTTCTTCAAAATTCTACAGCCTAGAGGCATTTTATGGTATAATCTTAGTCAATGATAGGGTTTTTTCAGAATTGAATGCTCTACAAAAGTGTAGAGGTAGTACGGGTCATTAAACCCAATTAGAATTAGTAGATTACGTTTTACGTTTCGATATGGAGGCTATGCTGAAATGTTGTAGTTGTAATTTTTAGAGCTTCACGAAATCGCTTATTGCACGAGAACTAATAAAGCGATTTCAAAGAAAAGTGTGGCGTTTCAAAGATAAAATTCCAAACCTATCGACAGATTCTTTTTTATAAGAACCAATTCGGTTTCTGTCGTAAAAAGAACGGTAAACATTGGCTTATTTTGGGGTAAATTTTGAGCCTTTAACGTACTCCAGCAGCAGCAATTTGGAGCAATAGAAATATTATCGTGTACAGTTTTTGTAAAAACTAGTATCGCCCTGTTGTCGAAATTCGACATCTTTTTTTCATATTTTTTAATTTTACCTGTCACCAATACTAACTCTTTCATGCGAATTACTATTTTGAAGTCCACCAACATATTTTATAGCGAATTTACAGGAAAACTTAAAACCGAGTTATGAACGTTAATACCGGATTGATTAATGCTAATTCTCCTCCAAATTTCTTCAGTAGCTTTTGAAATTAGACAGAAAAAGGAACCTCGATTTTCTTGTATAGATGAGATGTTCATCACTGCCTAATATGTCAAACATATACAAATTCAGACTGTAAATAATTTTTCGATTATATTTGTCTCAGAGCCTCTTGGAGGTTAAAAGCTAAATTGCCCACATCTACATAAACTCTTTCTTTTTTTCATCAGTATCGTTAACGGTTGAGAAAGAATCTTGAAGGTTTACAACAGAAGATAATATTTGCTTCTCACACGGCGGTTTCACACGGGTTTTTGTCAAGACTCGGCCAAAGCCCCAAAACTTTTTTATCACACGACTGGGCTATCAAGTTACACAAAATTTTATGTTACTAATATGTGTTCTAAAAGTGAAACAAATTTGATCATAAATATGATTTTTTAGGATAGCTCTCAACCCCTTCGCCACCTATCGGAAGACAAACACATTGATCCTTTTAAAAACTTTTGCACAAAACCACAATCATTCAACGAGATTTTAAAATCTCGGTGAAAATGGTTCCCAATTGAATGATTCTTGCGATTTTATATGTGTATAAATGTAAGTGTATAAAAGTCCATTACCTTATAATAAGTGGCCCCAGAGATAAGCGATATGAGAATTTCAGTTTGTATGGGCGGTGCCACGCCCCTCTTCCCAAAATCTACCACTCTTCGCCGAAAGTACGATATTGACAACATATGTGTCAAATTTCAGGACGTTAGCATAGGCGCTTCCATAGATAAGCGATATGAGAATTTCAGTTTGAATGGGTGGTGCCACGCCCCCCTTTCCAAAATCTACCACTTTTCGTCGTAAGTACGCTATTGATATCATAAATAGTTGTGTCAAATTTCAGGACGTTAGCATAAGCGAATCCAGAGATAAGCGATATAAGAATTTCAGTTTATATGGGCAGCGCCACGCCCCCTTTCCCGTTCTACACCATTTTTCGCCATAAATAGCTGTGTCAAATTTCAGGACGTTAGCATAAGCGGTTACCGAGATAAGCGATATAAGAATTTCAGTACGTATGGGCGGTGCCACGCCTCCCCCCCCTCCCCCCTCCCCCTCTTCAAAATCTACCACTCTTCGTCATAACTACGTTATTTATATCATAAATAACTGTGCCGAAATTCAGGACGATAGCATACGCAGTTCCAG